ACGTGCGCCGCGACCTCATTCCCGCGAAAGTTTCAATACCTCACTATTGGGGTTAACTGTGACAAGGTTGTAAGCGGAGAGGACCACCTGAGAAACAACGTAATTGTAATCGTTTCCGAGTAAAACGTAACGAACGCAGTTGTACGTTGAACCACGACACAGAATTGTTACGCTGCAGCGTCGATTCAAGTTATGTTGGTCACAACGAATGTTAAGCGACGTCAAATAATAATTCGAACACGCAATTAGTAACCCTGTGGACACCTTGGCACCAATAACCCATACTATTCGTTCAGAGACACGTGTTTTTTGAACTGCACCGCGTTTTGTTCTCATATTTCCCGCCTGGCAATAATAAAAATATCTATAAATACAGTAATCGAATAAAGAATGGTTTGTTATATGAGTGGTTCCGTGTTTACTGATAAATTATTGTGTTATAGGGAAGTTTCAAATGTTTTATAGACGCTACTTAACACGCTTTTTTTGGTAACAGGTCTTTGATAACAATAGTCGATCATTGTTTTTGTGCACGCGATCTGTCGGTTATGAATCGTATACAACATTTACGAAGAAATTGTTTGTTTTCTCCCTTGCTCTAATTCTATTCAATAAGAAAATTGTTACGTGTTGTAATCGTTTTATGTTCTCAATTGCTTGAGTGTATTGGCAAAATTGCATAATACTCGATACAAGTTTAAAATGCGTCTTTACATGCTTTGAGCGGAAAGCCAATTGTGAAAAACCTTTATTTAATACGTACTCACAATTGTTGCGTAATGCAAACAATATACCAACTCATGCAGTTATCTAAAACAAAGCGATCTGTCACAGTTCATAAATCGTATTGCAACACTGATTAATATGCCGAAAATGCGTAAATGTTACACGTGTCTGACTTATTAGCATAATGATCAATAGGTTCATAGCGTCATCACCTGTTAACACTATTCTGTTGCGTTATCTAGAAGTCGACGTCACGCTAATGAGAGTGTACTATTAATATGGCAACAACACGGTGCGATCTATTAGACAAAGTGTAACACATTCTTACTGGATAACGCTGTAAGTTTCCGAGCATCGGATCGCAGCGTTCAGCCGGCGCCCACAACCGCAATACAGACGCCGACTCCGTTACATTACCAGTCCAAATCGGACACGCGACTATAGTCAATCATACAGTCGCTGAAAGACTACAATAGCGTATAAATTTTAGACAGGTTGTATAACAATCTTGGTTGGGCGGCGATAGAGTAATCCGGGTAGCAACAGTGTAGTGACGTCGTGTATTCACCTTGACTCACTTTACTGGCTCGTTTGCATTACAGTTTGCTAGCCGTGTGCTAGTGATTAGTGTATTGAAGTAGGTAAGCTGTTAACATCATTTCGATATGTGCACATCGAGACTAAATATAATAACTTATTTTATTGCATGTACCGTTCCAAGTTCAAGTTTATCTATTGCTTAGATAAAACTGTAAAGAAGTCAGAGCCATTTCTGAATTCCAGGTTCAGATGGCAGGGTGAATAACTAAATTCCAGAAAATCGTTAAACGAAATGATGCGGTCAAATATTTCAAAATGTTGGTTGCCACGCGGGTAGCGTGTATTATTTGATTATGAAAAGCGTTTTCTTGTGAAACGGAGCGTCGCTGTGAATGGGCGATATCGCTTCTAATTGCTCGAATGGCTCGAACAGCTGATGCTTTCCTATTCGTGACGACTTACACGAGAGTGTGGAGTGAAAGCAACATTATATCAAGATCATTTCACGTCAAGTAAAAACTTTTTCAGTTTGTGAATTCTTCGACTTTCATTTGCATTTATTTATAATTTCCTGTTAATTTCCATGAATTTCAAATAAGTGCCGAAATTCTGGCATTCCTTATTTTATTCAGACATTGGAAAACGCACAATTTTCAAGTGTCAGTAAGTTTACGTATGCGATTTAGCAATCGAATTGCGTTGTCAATAGTTAATATTAACATCACTCTATTACCGACCATCCATTGTGGCAATGATTGCGCCATAGTGGCAAACTGCAAAACAAAACTGAAACGGATACAAGCACAATACTTGTATGATTAATATCGGACTTTAAGTTACATAAGTTATTAACGATTGGTCTAGACTTTCGAAATGTTCGATATGATTTCTAATGAGGCCAAATCCTAATGGTTGGGCGTTTTCGATCTGCGTCTCCTAACTCCAATGGCTCAGACTATAACCGGTTCGATTGCGAAATTCGCCAGTTGGCGTCATTCATTGTCACCTTACCATCTAGTGCAGACAGCAATTGCATCATAGTGCAGTGTGTGCTCCAATTCGAATGTATGTCGATCGGATATAAATTATTGTGATGTAGCTAGAAGCGTTGAGGAGACGATTTCGCAACGTGTAAAGAATGACATATCTTAAATTACTCTAGTGATACTGAATTATAATGCTCATTTCCTACAAACTGCAGTAGAAGTTAAAGTTAGGATACTAATATTGCAAGTCAAGTTTGCATATGATTAACTGCATGTGCAACGTACTTTTGTCAGTGGAATGTTCGAGCATGACGCAATTGAGTTATTCGAAACCAATATCTCGGCTAGCGAAACCGCAAGATTGTTCTGTTGGCCGTGCACAAATTATACGGTACTCAGTGTAACTAGAATTAACAACGCTTGGTGAACAAAATTTATATTTTCACAAACGATTTTATTAAGTTATTTACAATAAACTGAAGGAAAACTAGATGGTTTTCCTGGAAGCATTATGGGTTAATTTCAAAACTGCGACGATTGGAAATCCATTCCCGGAAATACAAAAACCGTTTAAGTAAGCCAAACAAACGCGGAATTGCAAGTCATAAGTTCCTTCTCGTGTACCGTTTACACCCACGCTTTACACGTCACGGATTCTCGATACCTGGCAGGGCGCCATGTAAACACACCACCAAATAGAGCAACGACCAGGTTCCAACGCAAATAGAAGTATCTATTAATATACCTTGTTTAAAAATAGGTACTAGAAAGCAAGGGGAGACTCCACGTGCCTCTCAAATATTAAGATTAATTGCCCCTATCGCTCACGACCTCTGTGACTAGGTATTAAAAGTTTATGCTCATTGTACAAGTTGACGGGAGAAAAAGCTTTAATCGACTACGCGTAAGTTTCTAAAATAATACCAAGAAGAAATGATAATGTTATGTTTATTGTTAAACAAGACGCTATTTGATGACGATTTGCGTTATACATTCAATTGAACAATTAGCTTAGGCACAATTTGCTACCTAATTGATGGGTAATAGGTCAGAGATTCACCTAGCGCGGGAGTTCACATTATAAGTGTTTACGTCATAGTTTCCACGTTTCAGTCGACGTCGGTTGCAACTCGTGCAGGCTATGACGCAGTTAATATTGCGCCGTAGCTCGCACGGCGAAAACATCCACGTGACTGAAGGTCAGAAGTTCGTGCTTTGTTTGTGGACTACCGAAGCAACTATCGTAACCCCACCACTTTGTGCGATAGGAGAAATTTCACTGAAAACGTATATCCATACAACGATCGATTCCATAACAAGCGTTTGTATTTTAGTCATTTTCCGTTAATAACATAATTCCTAAAGTGAATCGACTCCACATTTCATTGTATTTTGTGTTTAATTCTGCGATTTCTAAACATATACTTTTAGTGCCGACTAACTCATGCCTTCCTAACCTTGCCTATTTTGACAATACGCGCGTAAAGGGTAGCTAGCAGGCATGAAATTTGAAATGTAAATGTCGATGTGATTTAAAACGACTAGATACATGTGGGCGGAGTTAATAAATGAGTTGAGCGTAGAGGGCATTACTCTGACTTCCTAACGCCAATTGTTCTCCTTAGCTAACAGTACGCAGGAAGTACGCACACATGCGTGCGAAAACTTTATTATAAAGTCAACACTAACCCGGTCACTATACCATTGAAGAGTTTAGTCACTTTAGTTCATTGAGGAGTTTTTTAAATTTACGATGCAATAAATTTGCTCCCACGCAGCCACCTCCTAGCAACGGGTCGCCCACAATTGCCGAAAAAGGGTCGCTTCGATTCGAATGTTTGATTCCATTTTACGTCGACGTTTAGAATCTTAAAACATTTTGATCTTAGACTGCTGAAGTTTGATGATACTTATAGAAAGAAGAAAGAATAATAAAAAATAATCAAACTAACTTGAAGATATGCTAAATTCTGCCACATAGACATCTTTAACAGGCTTTAAGAAGCCAATTTCAACTAGGGGATATTTTTCAGGTTGGGGAGTTAAAGGTTGTGTTAGGTGACACGTTGGTAAGGGTTAAAATTCTGTACTCATATGTGAGATCTTGTCTCTCACTACGAGGCAACACGATAGAGTAGAATAATCCACAGGGATTGACATCACAAGGCCGATATTGACACCCAAGTGTCACAGGCCTTATTAAAAATAAGATAATCAAAACATCTTTGTCACTATTTTAATGTTCAGTGTAACGAACAAATATTTGCGATTTCACACATCGTCATTTAGCACGGAAAGCTTAGTTAATCCATTTAATCAATGAACCAAATTATGGAAATAATGAACGCTTATTGATATGCATGTTAAACAACTATTATAATATCGCTTGCCGACTGCATATTGAAAGAGGTAGGTAAATTAATTATTATGTTATTCGTGATCAACTATTAACGACAAACACAAGACTGTGCAATACAGTGTGATCTGTTTGTTATAATCCGTATGTGTATTATTAAAAAGTATCTCGGTACCTTTGAATAAAAATTGTTTTTGTAGAAGTATTCATTTTAAAAATGTATTAAACGAACTCATATTTCAGTGTGAAAGATTGAAGTCAATTGAAGATAAGATCGCATGTTCTTAAATGATGATAATTTCTTATTTGGTTCTTTATTTGGTTTGTATTATAGTAATTACTGCACCTGGGTGTTTAGAGACTATTTCCTTAACGTATAAAGTATCACTTACCTCGTTTATGTGTTTATAAGTTTTGATGAGGTCAACGCTGAGTTTCCTAAGCGGCGCCGTCGAGGGGTCTCGAAAATGATGTGGTATTCGGGCTTGCATAGCCTGGGCAATCGAGAAAATCGGTTAACATGTTAATTTTAAAACTATGAATATAAAAATAATAAAATAAGCAAGGAACAACCAAAGCGGGATAAGCAAAAGAGGCTAGAGGCAGTTCGCGATTTACACTTTCGAAAATATTTGACTTTATACATAGAAACCCGCGTTATAATTTGCGTTATAATTTGCGTTATAATTTGCTTAAAAACTATTTATTAGTCGAGTGAAGTTTTGTAAAGGAAATATAAAATGAAAAGAATATCATGATAATATATCACAACAAAAAATATCGTGCAGAAAATACAGTGTTATTAACAGAAAAATAACGTAGTAGTAGTGGTTGTACCGCAAAATATTTACTAAGAAAAGCAAAGTTAATTTACCTACTAAAACTAACCCAATCTTCGCAATAACTCCTGTCGGGCAAATTTATTAATTAACCCAGTCTAGACACGGAGAAATATCGATCGGCGTCCGAATACACGAGCGTTTAGTGATGTCGTTTCTCTCAGTAAACTTCGTCGCGGTAAATTAGCTTCACTTTATTTCATTAATTTATTTACTTACGCGCTATTGGTATACGTGTGGTTACGAAGCTTTGGCAAAGCTAACCTAGTCTCTTTTAATTCTTTGTATAAGTTAATGCTAAACGGACAGATAATAAGATAGTGGCAATCACTGACTGCTTTACAATTAGATGCAATATAATATATGTATTTATGATGTCTTTGTGACAAAGCCAAGAAATCCGGGATGATTCATAGAGAATGTCGCTGTAACAAGCTGCTTTACAAGCTTTCAAATTAATATCATTTATACATACACATAGATGTCCACACTGATTTTTTATTTGTGTTTTAACAAGGACCGATTTGATTTGTTGTATTTACCATAGCGAAATAAATCATTTGTCATTGTCGCAAAGGAAAATGTTTGTTGTAAAACCTTAAGGATTCAGCTCTTCTGTTATAAGATGTAATGTTTGTTAGATTGTAGAGGTCCGGGACTGGTTTATACTTGACCACGGCGATAAAACTTTCTATGAATTATCTATACTATGATTGTTACACTATTTCAGAGGTCGCGACAAATAACAGGAACAACCCTGGACACGAAGTGAGCTCGAAATTATGGCGCGCTAATGCAGATTATAATGTATGGAATGATATTTGCAAACCACACACAACACTGAAGCGTGTTGACATATATCAAACCTAAAGCTTATCATCTAGCAAAGCAGAGAAGAACTGTGTTTCAACAACTAATAGTATCACGTTACTTTGACATCTCTATTCTTTTATTAAATATGATGAAATATGCTAATCACCAATATGCAGCACTTCTCGTTCCGCTTTTTTTAGATACGGGACCTAAGTCGCTATTCGCACTTGCTTCGTACAGTATGATATAGGATATTTGCTGCGACCTGTGCAACAATTAATCCCGAGTGTTAGTCGCTGATGGCATTGGAGTGAGCCCAGCAAACTGCCTCGTGCATCATTTACCTGGGTGGTGGGGGTACAGTAGCGGCAGAAAGCTCGATGGTCGCGCGCGGCGGCGCTCACCTGAATGTCGGAGGGCGCGCTCATGGACGCCAGCTGCTCCTCGGCGACCAGCCGCCCGTACAAAGGGACGTGCCGCCGCTCGCCAGCGCCCGTCTCCGGCATTCCGCCGCCGACCACGCCCACTACAATGAAACACAACACTTTATATTACAATTGGATTTTAAATACTATTGCGACATTAATAGATACATGTGGACATTATAGATTTTACGACTTTCGTGGTTAATCATTAATTATAGGTTTCTCACCACTGTATGATTTCTTTTTATTCTCCCGATATTTTGGAACGGTTACACACTCCATGGTCAGGGGTTGACTAGCCAGTGCCAGATGACAGCTGTAAGAACACATATAGCTTTCTACCCTCTTTCAATGTCGATAGGAAAACAAATAAGAAATCATAGCATGGTAAGAAACTTGTAATTAGTGATAAACGTTCAGGGTATAATTTGGAGACACTGCTAAAAGTAAGAACTCAATACTTTATTGCATATCATAATGTTATCATATATACAAGGTGGTAGCCAACATAAATTAAGTTCATTATGGACCCCGTAAGGTCCCCAGCAAATGATACAAATCCGAATAAATTAAACTGATTCTGACCCTATTCTATTTACTAAAGCCTTAAGATTATTACGGGTACATGTATTTTGCTCATTGTGTGTTAAGAGAACATGTTAATAACATAATAATAATTTATATTAATATTCTTTTACAGTAACGTAATTTATGAAACATATTTGTATTATAGTACTAAATATGACATTATGTAAATTATTAATTGGACATATTCCTATCATCTAAGTATTCATGTAGTGTAGCCAATAAATATGTTTCTAACGTTTCAATAAATTTTGTTTCGCTTGTTTCTGTTTTTATTACTTTTGGTAATTTGTTATAAATTTTAATAAACTTAACAAACGGACTAGACGAATGCAACATTAATAGCGAGACTATTATCCTATTAATCTGTTTTTGTGTTGGAAGGAATATTTAGTTGGCAAGTCTTCGCGCTTTGTAAATAAATTAACATTCGGACGAACTTACTTATTTCCAGGATGTATATACTCAGTAAAGTAAGAATTTGGTTGATACCGTAGCTTAGCCAAGCTTAAGCGTTCGCGTTGGAGGCGGTCAGCGCTGTTTGTATGTTCGAGGCTTTTTTATTTCACTGAAACCATACACGAAACTGGATATTTTACTAGTTATTTTATTAATGTGCGCTTTCCAATTGATGTATAAGTCAATAACTATACTCAGAAACGTGAAGAGGTTGACTTTTCTATATCTACGTTATTGAATTTGAAATTTAATTTTATCGGTTGTTTTTGGTACAGGTGGAGCGCCATTAATCTGGTATTTTGAAATTTATTTCTAAATTGTGTTCCTCCGTCCAGTTTGAAGTTCTTTCAAAAATAGAATTGAGCTTAAGTTTAGGTTTGCATTATTCTGCTATGAGGTGAGTATGGAGATCTCATCTGCGAATAGTACACATGTCTCCTATACTACTTTTGGATGGTCATTGAGGTATATGTTAGAAATAAAAGACTTCCGATGACACTTCCTTGGGGAATGGAAGTATTGGTAAGTATGCCATCCGATCGTACATTTTCTGTTTTACTTTTTTATGACTGAAGAATTCGATTTCTACAAATTGTTCTGTCTTTAAATTATGATGCAACCCATTTATGACTTGTTCGTCTTTTGTTCCTATTCCATATAATTTATTTTGTAATGTTTGTTATTTGTCATATTTAGATTTTTTTTATGATACTAAGGAACGGGACGAACAAGTCGTGCGCCTCATGGTAATCGACACGCCTGTCCATAACAGTTTCAGTACCAGAGAGCTTTTAATTTCAACGATCTGAGAGGCATTGCAACTGCGCCCGGCCCCGATGACAAGTTCCATGTGCCTGTGATGTCACCAGCATCCTTACTCTTCCAAACTAGAACGCAGTAATGCTCACATTACTGCTTGACGGCAGAAATAGCTAAGGTGGCAGTACTTCCCTGGACGAACTCTTTCACAAGGAGCTCTACTGCTACTAAAACAATTTCATGCATATAATTTTGGAATGTTTTAGAATTTTTTGTATATATTTGGTGTACATATTAACGTTAACGCTGTACTTCGTTTTTTTTCGAAATCCGTTACGACTATGATAATATAGTTCCACAAACCATTGATTGACATGAAGATAATGTACATCCTAATCGTAACTGTAAAGGCCGTATGTTTGGACAGATTGTTTTTAATGTTTTCAGACATTCCATCAATTATTTGAATACTAACTTGAAAAATGCTTAAGTATATCTTAATTTCGAAGCGTCAAGGGTGTCAAGAATTTGTACTCTTAGCTGAACTTTAAGCAATCTTAACTTCTCAGCGGAGGGACATTTTGTCGAAAACTAGTTATCTAACTTAATCGTTAGAAGATCAATGATCGGTGCCTGGCAATATTCTTAAATAAAGATGATAATATCTTGCTACCAGATTGAGTATTTTGATGGCGTGTGAATAATCTTAGTTCACCTGTAGATACGCCACCGCCTACACTAGTTTCGAGGATTCGGTATATTATGAAGTTTGATGAATCAGTCCTGAATTTTGATTTCTTATTATATATATTCTTATATATATCTTATATACCTTTACTTGTACGGTAATGTCAACTTTTACATTGACATATTTGATTTAGCAAAATAACAATACAGTATCTGCGTCTTAATTAACTGCCTCTGTGGTCGAACGGTTACCATGCTTGTCTGCCACGCAGTCGTCCCGGGTTCGATTCCCGGGCCGGGTGAAATATTTGTATGGCCTACATTTATTTCTCTCCTAATTTTGGATGTAATTTGAGGTTGTTTATATGTGTGTTCAAGGCACCCGCGACAGGGTTTCCCTAGTGAAGGGCTATGAGTGTGTGCTTTAAAAAAAAGTAGCAAGTTGCGATGCGACATGGCTTTTAAGTTTATAAAAAAAAAAAAAATCTTAAATATAATGTGCTATGAATCGAAAAGATATTGTCTGGTACTTTCTTGATGCCGTAAGACTTCATACTTATGCACAACACACTCTGTAATAGGAGCACGGAACAAGTCGCTAAGTATCGCTCGGTCGATAAGTTCTCGCACCACACAGCCCCCGGGGTACGCTTCGACATGTCTGAAGGACTGACTTTTTACTTGGAACGTGTTGTTAAAGTCTGCAACTACGGGTGATTCCCTCTACGGGTGATTTTAATTATATTTTCATACGCCCTATGAAAGACAGTCGTTTGACGTGTCTCCATGCCATAATACATACGTTGTATATTTTCCAAGTATTGATCTATTTCGTAATGTTGACAATTACTGTCCAAAAATAGAAGTATGGTTATTCCATACAATAAGACGTTATATTATAATATTTGTTTTTCATTCTTTTACCTAAATGTTGAGTCTAACTTATTAAGGACGCTACCCCAGTCACATTAAAAAAAATTAAATAAAAATTTAATTAACGTGTTTGGCAATCATTCTTTGTTCTAAGCTAAAAGTTACCACCGCAAGTAAAGTTGTGTTAGTGAGTTGAAGTACAACACGAGTTTTAGTTTGGTGTTACAGCATTATTTACCTTAGGAGAATATGTCGGAGCTGCCACGAAGGACAATCTACATGTAATTGTATTTATTTGTGGCATATGAATTGAGTAAATGAAATATTATTTTCCGAACTTTTGAACTAACTAAACAACTGTTCAGGGGGCTACTCTCGATCTCCGTCGGACATCCGTCCGAAACAATTACTGTCAAATAAGTAATATTCGACAAAATTAAAAGACAAGTATCCAGTATGAAGCATCATTCGCATCAAGCGTCTTTTCATTTGGTCAAGTATTGCTTATTTGGCCGGATGTCGGATGGTGATCGAGAGTAGACCCCCAGATCAGACTCATCGATATAGTCTTACTGATATTAAATTATTTAGTCCAAATAAGCTGTTCTGTAGTAAATGGTGTCGCCCCTGTACAGTATACACAGGATTTCTGTTGTAGTAACCGAAAACCTTCCGAGTTATGGTTAATAAATAACATTGCTTTTAATGAGAAAATACAGATTGAAATTGGTGTCTAATGACGAAGCTGGAAAGCGGGCACAGGGTCTCTTCTCTGGGAAAGTTAATCAGTCCCCAATCACAAATATTGTTGTAAATGTTTCAAGTCCATTTTTAGCTACGAATTTGTATCAAGTATAAAATTATATTATCACCAAGAAATTATTAATGAAAACGTGGTTTTGCTAAATTTAAAACAGTCAATGCTAAATCATTAATCATGAAAAAAACTTTGCCAATAAAAAAAATATTCGTAAAAACTTTCAGTTTTTGAAAAACTCAATTAATTAATAATTTACTCCATAAGTTTACATAATTATTTTTTATTTATTTAGTCGTCTGCCAGATAGACTGAGGCCAACAGAGATATATCCCTTACCTCTCGTTGTCTTATGCAGCCAATTATTTACCAGAAACTTGTAAACGTTTGCCGCTTTAGACAAATCACACATTATAAGTTAAATAGCTGCGTTTCCTACCACTTACCAATCAACTTAGCGGAATCCAAGTTCTCAAAATTCTATAATATACAAAAATAAAATTGCATGACAATAAGTAACATTAACAGTAAAAATAAATAACTATAAGTTGAGTTGCATCCTATTGCTAACAAGTAACAATGTACTTAAAGAAATTGAACCTTTTCAAAATTCAACAGCACAAAAAAAAAAAATTGCATGATAATAAGTAATATAAATTTTAAAGTATTTCACCCATAAAAATTTATATTAATCCGTTAAATTAAATCACCCCATAAAATACGAGTTTCCATGAAACAAAGTCTTCAGAGGGGTATAAAACGAAGATGTTAGGAGTGATATTATCGACCTCTATTTTAATGTAATAGCGTTTTCGATTTAGAACTGCTTGGATATTTTGTTTTAAGTTGTGTGTTGAGGTGCGAAGGGCGACCCTTGCCGTGTACGTCTGTGAGGTCGCAGACAAGTTAATTCGGTCTTATTTATGTACTGTCTGGCACAAAATGACATTTCATAATAAAACAACGGCGAATCGCGCTCGT